TTGGGTCCAACCTGTTCAACCAGCTGACTTCGTCGTGTAAGCAATCTGAAAATGAAGAAAAAGACTAAAGTATAAACTCTGTCCATAGCTCGCGTGTAATTTCTCCATGTAGTTATAGTAGGCTTCTTATGACTTGACGGAGGCATGTGGTTGCCAGGTGACTTTTCTATTGGTTGTTCATCGAAATAACAAAAAGAATGTGTGAACAGCTGATTTAAGGCCGTTTTAAATTGCATCGAGAAATGATCAGTTTGTGTGTGTTTTTATCACGGAATTTCCATGGCAAATTTTTATTCTAATTTAATTAGATTAAAATTAAAGATCTGCTGTATTCTAAGTAAAGTTCAAATTAACGGCTTGGCGTCATCTTTATCTGCATATTTTTAACTGTTTAAAAATGTTAGGCTCTCAAACTTATTGACACCCATACATGAGCAGTTTCAAACGATGCCAATAGCATGTGCAGCATATTCTACCCGAAGCTCTCATGTGAAAAAAATGGCGGAAGAAGAGAAGTTACAGTTTTTATAAGTTTCAGCTGCCTTAAAACTCCCAAACCACCCTAAACTATCACTCTGACTTCATCACAGAATGGCAGGCTTAGTGTGATGGTTGCCTGACAGTCAAAATACAATTATTATTTGCGGCAATTTCGTTGCCAAGGAGAAAATATCAGATGAACAAAGGCGTCGTTCCAGTTATTCGACTTTCATTTTCATCACTGCGTTTTAGAACATTCGAAAATGCCTGTACTCTGGACCAAATGTTAAATTGAGCGTCAGGATATATCTAAAGGCCCAGAAGACAATACATATGCTCAGTTATCATAGCCACCGCTGAAGGGTGATCAAACGCTGCTTTGTGCGGGAGCCCAAAAAAGGGCAAACAGGAAAATGAACGAATACAGGAACTTCGGCAGCAAATTATTAGGCTGTATCTGGCCGGTCATTGCCTCCACACCCGCCTATACTTTGATACCTTCTATAGTATATACAGTATGGCCCAAAAATCGTGCAACATGCATAACTTTGCAAAAAAGGATAATTACTCGTATACCGGCATGAACGCATTTAGGACAACACAGAAATAATAATGAACAACATTAGGCATATTTAAAACTTAAAAGAAGTATAAGAAGTAATAAGTGTTTTTTAAGAAAAATAAAAATTTTCAGATAATCTCCATGTTCCGGAGACGTAAGAAATAGCTATAATTAAGAACAATAAATTTAAAAATTTCGGTTAGTTTTATACTCTACGTAATCACTTTCTTTATATAAAAATTTCTTTTCTTTAGTCAAATTGTTTTTTACACATTACCCCTAATGGATAACTATCTATTTAATATCATGCTTTGAATTCTGGCATAATTTCCAGCGCTTCCAGTGTTTTCATGTGTTTATCCATCAATTGAGCTACTGTTCGACGTTTACATCCAAAACCTTTAAAATAAGTTATAAATCAAGAGCATTTACCGAAAAAATGAGGTCTTGGATATCAGTTCTTATGAAGATGGCCATGTGGATGATATTTAGAAATGCCCCAAAACAGCAAACTATATTGCAGAACATACAAAAAGTCCGCAAGGTAACTCGGATATTGTTATTCCTTAAATTGATGCACATTACTCTGAATAAACTTAAATAAAAAGGCAATTATCTTAGATAAAAGCCTTTCCCGGATTAAATCCACTCAGTGAATCAATATAACCTGACCAAATACATGCTAAACTGCCCAGTCGAATTCCGTGATTAAAAGTGCACGATTTTGGGCCATACTGTTTATAAGTAAATTTATATGTGAAAAAGTGAAGTGGTTCTTCAGAAACAGCTAACTGTACTTGTGCATTTTGGAGCTGTTGACACTAACCCATCGTGAGACAAAATAAAAGAAAGTAGGAGAGTAAAAATATGACACCAGAAACAAGGCAGTTAGGCCGCTGGCGTATGTGGGGGTGATTCACTGTTTGCTTGTGAGCGGGGTAACAGCTATGGCGCTCTGTGTCAGAGTGGGAGTTCAATCTAGCGCATTCATAGACCGTCACATATCGAATGGTAGAATCGACATGAGGAAATCGGAAAGACAAAGGCAAGGGAAGCCGGAATGTGGATTACCTGACATTGTGTACGACTGGCTGATGATGGCTGCTAAGTCTGAAATGGCCATTTTAATATATGACTCTCTGTATGGGCGCCAGATTGAGCTTCAAGGCAAAATCGGACGAGTATATTTCCTAATAAGATCGATGAGTGTCCTACTACTATCAGTCGCGATCGCAAACGAAAAAAAAAACAGTCTCCCATATCACTGTCGGTTCCGCACTCTATATACAGTACGCGCCAGAATTTGCGCAACATGCCGACGTAGGCGAAAGATTAATATTCATTCGCTAATCGGCATTGACTCAGGATGTGATATTGATTATCGTGTAGACTATTCCGAATTTATTTCAGTTTATACTGTAAAAGGTAACTACTTAGCTAGTAAGTGTTTTCATCATTGATTTTGACGGCCTTTATAAATCCAAATATATTTTGTGGAAAAAATACACGAAAAGATTATTTATTGTACTCCTTTGGCAGCAAATTACGCCTTCTTTAAAAGTTATACTTAAAGAAAGGGTATACTTCGGTTTTAGAAAATGTTCTAATTATGAGCTTTTTTACGATTGTGAGGTGTTTATTCAAAATACATCGTAATTGTCAATTTATTAACGCTAACTATACTGTATAAAGCATGCTCCACATCTATTGCAACATTTTATAAGAACTGTATGAACTCTTCCTCAAAGTGTAGTCGAAAACGAACTTTTCCTATGACAGGATGTACCCAGAGCGCAGTTTGTAAACCTTGAATTCCAGTGTAGCACTCAGTAGGTTTCAAAATTATTCGGCAATTTAGAAACTTTTTTAAAACTGAAAGATACTTTTTCTTTTAGTATACAATTTAAAGAAGGCGTAATTTGCTACCAAACGAATACAAGAAATAATTGTTTGTGCATGTTTTCCATAATTTAACTAAATTTATAAAGGCAGTCAAAATCAATGACAAAAACGCATACTATTTAAGTAATTTATTTTCACAGTGCATGCATTTTGTTGGTGGTCAGACCTAAGCTCGTTAAAAAGCCCGCATCCTATCATGACTGAAATAAGTTCAGAATAGGCCGCACGACGATCAGTATCACAATCTGAGTCAATGCCAAGTAGCGAAAGCTTGTCCATCGTTCGCATATGTCGCCATGTTGCACGAATTCTGGCACGTAGTGTATTTAAATGGATATTTCTATTTAACGTCCTCTTCCTGAACTCACCCTTCCATATATAATTGTCCTTGTAGAGACCGAAGAGCCAACCGTTGACGAATGTGCCGAGGACGAGGTCTAATTGGTCAATTCCGACTCCCGGCTGTGACTCAGCAAAGTGCTGTGGCTTCTTCCCGGTGCTCCCTTTTCGTTCGGACTTCTTGCTAACCCACACCATTTTTGTGTTTTGTTACTCCCCTTTGCTCCCCATCTTAATAAACTGACTATTTACTAAATGAATTCTCATTGAGATTGCCTGCTGACTGCTTGCACATTACAGTATGAACTAGAAGCTACAAAACGTCGTGCCGATGCACTTAATCAAATTCTTTGGCATAATTTTCCTGACCTTTGTACGGGTTAGATAGCAAGACCGCTCTGCTCACATCATACGGGAGCGCAAACAGGCTGTTCGCAGAGACGCCCCATTGCCTTAAGTAACTATTAATACCCTGGAGGAAGACCACTGGTTCCCATGCGTTGGGCTGCGCATAATGAAGCCAGCCGGTAATAAAACGTAGCGGGGGTTGACAGGTACTCCATTTAGGGCAGCAATTCCGTAGCTCTTTGCTGTCATCTGTTGCGCGCACGCACCTTAATGACCTTGATCATTTTTCAGGCTTGGCTGTTTTTTTTCCAAAGCCTCTGCTGATTGTTTCCTGTGCGAGTCCGACAGCTCAGGCTGATTGAGTCATGTTCCGCTTTTTTAAAACTGCATCCCATGACTTACTTATTCATCAAGTATGTTTGGTGTTACATTACATTTACTGTATTTTAGGCTTGCAAAATACGACTACACCAGTGCAGAACCCTCATTCAGTCATCAAAGAGATTATGTCATTGCATACTTCTTTTAACCTAAGCATACTCTTTTTGGGAATCATATGTCGGGAATAAGGCATGCGAAAAAAGATGTGTGGGAAGATACTGACATTGGTAAAACATTCTCGCTCCGGCTGCTGCAGTTCAAAGTTTAACAGCTTCCTAAAGAGATTCAACTTTTCTTTCTCCATGACCTCCCTATTTGCTTAAACCTTCATTTCGAAGCACCAGCTATGTCATCTATTTTACGCTTGTGTACAAAAACTTCCCCACCGATTCACGTCTCTCCCTACTGAATATACACGACAGTTTGATATTTTGAGATATCTAAGAAAATTAAAGAAGTGAAACGAAACTGCATTCCTTAGGGATCAAGGTCTACTAAGTTATATTACTTCAATCTTATCAGAGTTCATTATTTAAAACAATAAAGCAGGCAAAGCAATGTTGAATAAGTAAGTAAATTATGAGACTTCCTTTCAGCTATAAGGAAACGATTTAAAGCCTTACAAGGTCAGGGGATTATTCATTTTAGGTAAAAATTAAATACATGTGTATCTGAGTGTTGATCGGTTCTGAAAATATCACCATGGTACGACATATCTTAAAATGAACAGCATTGCAAACAGTCATATTCTTTGAGGCTTTTAAGAGAGCATTTTTCATGAATGGTTGTCTCCATGGTGACGAGTTGGGTTTAGATTTTACAGGAAGTGCACCAACTATAACTACTGGCAGTGGTTGCCAGTAGGCCAAGCTAACACCGGACAATGGCTCAAATCTTACGGGCATATTTACGACCGTTGTAACACTTTACCTTTCAGGTGCATATCTCGAGGTATTCAGTCAATAGAGGAGAAACTGCCATGTTGTTGTTATACATTTGAGCCAGTGATAGCCATCCACCAAAACCAATGACAGATGGTTAGAATGGTGCTCGAAAGTTGCTCCTCAGTTGGCACAATCAACAGAACTACGAATCTGCATTCAACCAACCTGGAGCTACGACCAAGGCTCTGAACAGTCCAGACGGGGCCCACATCGTTGGTGGACAAACCGCAGGCTCCTTCAATAGCCGTCACCTCAACATCGGGGAAAACAAGCAACATCACTTTGTGTGAGCGACGTGAGCCACTAACCCTCCGACGCGCCCAAACGGCCGAAAGTGCTTCGAAAATG